CCTATTCAATGATCTGAAACTATTTTACTAACATGATTTCTTTTTTTATTAAATTTCACAACACTCCTATGGGGTAAGAGTTCTAAACTGCATTATTTGTTTTAGTTATGGTGAACTGGCACAGCAAGATTTTCCAAACAGCAAGTAGGGTTCGTTCATTGACCAAAAGAACTTGTGAAAGAAGTTGTTAATACTGCAGACCGCACTATAAGAAACATAAAAACTGAATTACAAAATTACTAGAGCAATATAACATAGACATTATGACCTGCTGGCACCACTGTTTGACCTTTATAAATACAATGCCTTTTATTCAGAAATATGAACTCTGGTCCAGATCTAATTTGTTCCAGAAATTCTTCATGATTCTCTTAGATTGCAGGAGTTCTATCACTTTGGAGAGTTTTTGGAGAGTTTAATCAGTTATACAATAAAATGATTTTTTTTTTTTTAACTTGTATTTAATGGTTTATTTTCATCCTTTTGAAAGCAGAAAGTATAGCATCCAAGTAGAGCTTCCTAAAGCATCCAAGTAATTTAGGAATTTAAATCTTAAGTAAGAAAGTGTCTTCACAGTTGAGAGCTGAGTCTCATTAAGAAAAGAGAAATTAAGTTTCTGTGCAGCTGAAAACTGGATGTAGCTACAACAGTCTTGTATAGAAATTCAACTATACATACCACAGAGTCATTTATCACAGTTAGTGAATTCCTGGAGCTTTCCACACCAGCAGAAAAACTATATACTGTGCAAGATTAAGCCTGGAGTACGTGACAAGTTGAACAGCAGGTATCAGAGATGCACCATGATATGCAAGCACCATTGGGCAGCCCAGCCAAGTTCTGAACTGGAAGTGGTTCAGCTGGTTATTTGTTCTGTCTCTAAATCAATGCCTCCTGCTTTTGATGAGTAAATCAAGAGATGCACAGGCTTTTTTCTTTAAACCCAACTATTAAACTTAAATGCATGTTGAACACGTGTCAAGTTAACAAGTTCAAGTTAGGAGTAAGGAGACAAAGTGATCTGGAAAACAGAAATGTAATTTTTAAGTGGGCTTGGGCAGCTCCCAAAGTGAACTGTCTCCAGTGGAAACAAGGTCTAAATGCTGATGTGGGAGTTTCCCACAGCTTCTATTGGCCTTCAAAGCCCTGTGTGTCATCAGAGTCTTTTGATGAAGTTGTACACATATATCTAACTGCTATTAAAAAAAAAAGTTCCATGGTATCTTAACTAAGGCCAGATGTGGAAAAAGTAGATGCCAAAAGTTTACTGTCATTTCAAGACACAACAAAAATACTTGCTAATTTTATTATTTACTTTACTGAGTAAATTGTCATACTAATGAAGTCATATATAAAAAGTTTATAATTTCCTAATGTATCTTATGTGAAAAAAGTGGGTGTTCTATTGCCTCAAACTCCTGCAATTAGTCTGAAATTTGAATCATAAAGTAAATCTATGTTATGATCCATACTCCTGTTGCACACTTAAGGCACTACGGATATATTCTTATCAGTTATTTTAAAAAGATACAGTGAAGTTTTTCAATATGGCATTAATACTCAGGCCCACAGTGCTAGAAGAGGATATTGAACAATGCCAAGTTACAAAAATAACATATTTAGCAAATGAAAGGTCTAGCATATCTTACTGCAAATTGTATACTTTAGTTTTGGCAAATGGAGACGTATGCTCAGCATGTAGGGAAGGAAATGTTTTCAGGAAAACTAAATGCCATCCAAAAATGTTCTGTTTAATGCAGAGGGCCTCTCTTACGGCACATACACGTCCTATCCAGAACCTCTCTGAATGCCTCAAAACTTAGAAGCAAGTTCTTAAAATTAGTTTTGTATATAGCTCAATAAAGCACTTAAGGACTGCGCATGTTCATATACTCATTATGAGAGCAGCTAAGCACTTGCTTAGGAGAATTAAAGAAAGAATTCAGGTAAATAGGTGATTTAACTTAAAATGCAATATGCTGAAGCATAAGATCACAATAACAAACAGCACAGCATAAGACCACATAGTCCAAGTTTTCTGATGACCAACCGAGGAAATCATTCAGTTAAGTTCTCTTAACGAGTCAAAATGTAAAAGTAAATCCTGTTTAAAAAAAGGATAAGATTTAGTTTATTAACCTAATGTAAGCAATAAATCATTTGATTGTAACAGTGGTTTTGTATATGAAACTACAACAGAATTATGGATTCACTGCAGTAAATCTAGGGTTGGATGACATTTAACTTTAAAAGTTTTTCATTGTGTTGGAACTACGGCTACGATCAAATTTCACCAGACAGGCAGGAATATCTTTGGCTTTTAGAAGTCATTTTTATTGTCTCCAAACCCAATTATCATCTACAGAATCTCTTTGAAGACAGTGAATGCTGAAAGGCAAGTTAACCTCTCAACAGAACAATCATACCTTCTAATTAACAAAATAGGCCATACAAGTCTTATGAAACATTTCTCACCTAAAAATTAAAAACTAAACTCCTAATACAAGGTATTCTGTAGTAGACAATTTTTAACTATTCTTGCTGCAGTCTTTAGAATGTTATGTATCAAGGATACTTTAAATCAAACTGCAGAGCTCTGATCTTGAGATTAACAACCCAATTACGTAAAAATTCAGAGAATACATTTTGCCAAGAGCAGCTCAAAAGTAGCTGGACTCCTCAAAAGTCATTCGGCAATCTTCAAACGCAGCAATTTAAATTGCACCAACAGCACGGTATAAGAAAATTGACTTCAAAATACTAAGACGATTCAATAGAAAAGGTACTGTAAGAACTCCTTTGCGCACCTAACCTGGGGCAGTTTTCACAAATTTTATGTACTGAGGAGGTAGTAGAGGACCAAAAAAAAAAAAAAACAAAAAAAAAAAAAACCCACCACTCTTCATTTTTCGAAGAGTCAACAGCGGTAACAAAAGGGCAAGTAAGCTCTAACTTCTGCAAATCATCTGCCTGTTGGACGTTGTTATTCATTAATACAACTTAATCAAGACTATGGTAATAGCTAACTTGGGTAAATCAGATGAGTTCTTACAAAAATACCAAAACCAAAAGTTTCTTCTCTATGAAAATATTTTAACTGGATTTAATTATCATGATAGCGTCCTATTCCTGTGAAAGCTTATATGCCAACGTAATGTTTCCTGTATATCTGAAATTATTATGTAATTGTGGAATAAAATACTAATACCATTTTATTTTATATATTAAATATGAGAAAATGTGAAAATACCCTAGATTTTGAGGAGTCACTCTATTGGGCAGTTCTTAAAATTCTATCAAAAAATCAAAATTATGTTATTATTTTCTATAGACAACTGCTTAGTTTTTTGCTTCTATGAGCAATGACTTCACTGCATAAACCTGACTGTTGAACCTACTCTCCTGCTAGCATTTTTGAAAGCACACTAATTCCATTTTTTAATGTTAAACTTTGAACCACAGTAAGTCGCAGTACACTGTATCAGGCTCTAAAATTGCAGAACTCTACAAATAAATAGAAGTAATTCATGAATTAATATCTGCAAAATAATGGATTACTAACTAGGGAAGTTATAATTCCTATTAATGATGTCATTAGCAGACTAAAGAGTTCTGAGCAGCCTAAAAGTCATTTAGGTATCACAGTTAGACTACAATTATTCTTTTTGCTGATGAGTAGCAGCTGGTAGAGGGTATTTGTTTTGCTTTGCTGGATAATTCTCATAAATAAAAAGTTATTCTAGGAATCACCGGGTTGCTTTAAGAACGCATAAGGTATTTTACAGTTTAGTGTCTCCAGCATCTGCTCCAATTATTTTAAAGGGTTAAAACATGAAGCAGAGAGCCAAGGCATTTTCCCAGTAAACATTGTTAGCAAAGCTGTTGCGCCATTTCCAGCTGAAAAAACAGCTAAACCATTTATACAGGCTACAATAACTGAACAATCACATCTTAAGACCAACTCTGGAAACATCAACGTGATGCTACTATACCACAATGCAAAATTAAGTTATAGATGTAGAACAGTATAGACCTTTACAGAGCAGGTAAGGATTACAAATTTTTATTAAAATACAACTTTAGGACAGATACCTGCTTCCTTTTAGATGGGACAGACTCAGTATCACAACTCTTTAGCCAGGGTACTTCCCATGAGAACAAAACATACCACTATTTCGTTCTGCGTTAAGACTTCTGTCACTAGACCAATAAACGGCACTATTGTCCACATACTATATTCCACCAAGTAGTATCATAATTACATGTTAGATTGACCTAAAATGATAAATGATTTCCTTATACCAGATAATGCAGGGTATCTTGTTTTCTTTAAAAGAAATACTTGAAAACTCAGATAGAAAAAAATGTAGTTGTATTTTTCTGTAAGAGTATGCCTAATCTACAGTCAAAACCAGTAGCAAAACCTGTTTAGGAACCTGAGTAAATACTCCGGTTGTTAGCCCATTCTGGACTCTGTGCTGTTGCCTATTATCAGGACTTGAATACGGTAGCTTAAAGCTTGCCTGGTAATGCTTGCACAAACTGCAGTTTCACACATACTGCCTACCAGTGAAACACACCCTAAAAGACAACAGACAGGAACTTTACTTGATATAAATTCAGAACTGTGAAGCAGCAACTGTCACTTAAATATTTCTGTAATTTCACAAAATGGGACAACCAGAAAAAAAGGTAAAAAACTCAACACATTTCTAACCGACTGGCAACATGCATAAAATACTGTACATCATCTACCTGTGTAAGAGAGCGTTCTCTCATATGAAATAATATTTCTTATTTTATAACCGTTAAGAGGTCCTCTCTTATCTCACTATATGAAATATACATGTGGCTCATGTAAATTACCCTGTAAATCAAATATCACTGCTCAATTCTATCAGTGATTAATTTACTCCTATAATTATATAGCTGAATATAAAATCCAGACACCCTTAACTACCACCTGTTTAGTCTTTAACACCCAGAGTATATTTTCTTACCTCAGCAGCCTGAGTCTCCTGGTGTAATAAAGTTAGACCCGTCAAATCTTCCAAGAAGGAATGTGAGGAATTAAAAACTTTAGCTAGGAAATTAAACCCTTCTCGTTCATACTGGTCAAGGACCTGCCAAACAAACAAACAGAAAAGGATTTAAAATAACCTATCCGTAATGTGATTCCTCATCATATTTATCTCAAAAAAATAAAAGGACAATCTTTTTGAACACTCACAAAATTATTGTATATTGTAAACATGGAAAAACCACAGGAGAAAGAATGATCACTTTTCCTACCTCGGTTTCTAAAGGGGGAAGGTGGGAAGGGAAGAAAAAAGGTAAGAGGGAAGAAAAAAGAGGTTTAAGATTTCCTAGTTTAAACATCTTTTTAAGCTTATAACAACTTAGAAGATAAGGAAAGAAGAAAACCAGTTGCAAAGTTACGTAAAGAAGATTTATGAGCTACACAAAACACAGCAAAAGTCTTTGTTTCATGGTACCAGTTAAGGGAAAGGACCATGCGGGACAGACCAAAGAATTTTCCCCAGCAAGTGGCCAAGTTTGACATCCTCCCAGTCTCCAGAGATTCATAGTTCTGGGACTATTGTATTTTAAAGTCCTCAGTGTACTCCTCTACACTAATTTGCCCAGTTTACCTTTTATTTTAATGATCTTATAAACTCTTACAAGAACTGTGAGGAAGGTTTTAGCCTATGTTTTGAAACTCTCCCCAGCCTCACAACTCTGAAGAATTTCATTCCAGGAAGCTCCAGCTTATATGACTGTTCTGCAGGCTGATTTCAGCCAAGTACAACGGAGATCGAGAAAAGAAAGGATAAATGTCAAAGATAAGCAAAATTCTACAAGTTTTGTGAAAGCAGGTAGCAAGATAAAGAAAGGAGGCTGACAGTCCACAATTCATGTAGCAGAAAAGGATGCGTGCAGGGACTTGAGAAATATACAAAGGCCATATATATGACACAGAAGATGGAGAGGCACGGGCAGGATTATCAGGATCACCAGCTGGAGAAAACGCAGGCTTTACAGGATAGATCATGGAACAGCTTAATCCACAAAGCTGAATGCTTGCCATAAATCTTTTACTGTGAGCATTTCTGATGGCCTTCTCAACAGATACATTTGCATCTCAATCATCGTCTTTCCAGATAAATCAAGATCAGTCAAGAGTGAGGGACTGAAAAAGGGTGTAATGAGGTATTCAGTTTCACAGATGAAATGGCTGATATTTTTTTGAATGATCCTCTTTCTGAAAGCCGGCCTCTGAAAACGCCTCTTCCGGTTGATGATTCTGATGATATGCTCCTACCTCTCCTTCCTCCACACCATATATTCTGTTCCTGTCCATGTAAACTCTGCGCATATCGTAAGTCCCTGCACGAATGCCTCCTTACACTAAATTTTGCAAGCAAAACTTTTCAGAAATACATCCTCTACAAATAGTGAGGTATATCTGTTCTGGAAAAAAACACCAGCTCAACACTTTAATTAGACACCAGAGAACCCACAAATAACTACCTCTCTATAACTGCCCAGTCACAAAAAAAGCTCCAGAATCTCTCTTTTAAGCACCAAAATTGGCCAATGTGATACAACTCCAGGACTCCTGTGCTAAAGAAATACATGATTGTTGATGCCTTGATGCATAAATCGCAATATTGTGCCCATCTATGTCTTCTTATAGCTTATCTGTGCAAATTATATGTATTACATTCTTCTTCTCATTTTGGTATAGTTCCTGCAGCACAATTCTGAATAGAACATGAAGCGCTTCCTTGTCAACAGCTTACTGTTGCAGGAAGTACACAATCATTCTTTTACAGTACATGTCCTATTTTTATTATTTTTAGGGAGAAGTAGTATAGGGAAGTTGTACAGTTTGAGTACTACTTAAACATATCCACTCTTGCTGGAAGGACAAATAGCCTTCCCTGCAACCAGGAGTCTTCATTTCCTCTGGCGGTAAAGGGAGGGGGCAGAAGCTGGAAGCCTTGTGGTTTGTTCTATCACTAAACGAAGGGATTCAACTAAGTGAGCTTCATTCCAAGCTTTAAAAACAAACAAGCAAAAAAGCAATGCCCCCTTCCCCCAAATCATCCATTCTCCATTCTTCAGATGATAAGGGGAAAAAAAAAAAAAAGGGAAGAAGATTGTTTCATCATGAATTGGATCTAACTCAACCAAAATGGCAACTTATTCTCAACAACCTTACTCTGCTCAAGTTTAACCACTCGGAAAGGCCTTAGATAATTCTTGCTAAATTTCAAAATCGTGGTAACTCACACAGCCCATCAGCGTTCTTCAGGAAAATATCTCCAGTGAGCTTTTACATTCAGTCCGACAGGACTTCCAGCTCGTCTCAAAAAAATTTACATTTAAATAACGGAACTGTAAGGTCAGTGGTGAAGTACAGTGGAATCTTCAGTCAAATGCTAATGCAAAATGCCCACATAGCAGCAAAATTATCTACTGCATGCTTCCAAAAAAAAAATCAACAGGAATGACTGAAACATAACTATAAAGAGGAAGAAGTCAGATGCAAAATTGACAGTTAAGCACTTCTGGATATGTCACTTTTAGAATAGAACTAAAATGGTAATCTTAAACCACTGCCACCAACAGTACTTTAAAAATTTAAAGAAAACAAGTGTCTACGACCAACATTTGGCATGCTCTTAGCCATGCTTTACACTAAAACAAAGCAAAAAACAAAAAAAAAACCCTGCAAACCCACAAAAAAGATAGAAGCACTTAATAGTCTCTTAGAAATTCTAGAGAAATTGTTTCTAATCCTCTAAAGAGTACAAGAGGTTGTGTACTTCCACAGAGACCCATAAAAATAATCTGAGACTAAAATTAAAAACAAAAAAAAGAAAAAAACCCCTCTGCTTAGGAACGTATTTTAGAGTTGGGGGGGGGGGGGC